AATTTCACTGCCGCTTCAATCACGGGAATCACGCGACCGTAATGAACGAAGTAAGACAACGCTTCTGGGTGCTAGGACTGAGGTCAGCGATCAAGACCATTCAACATCAATGCCAGTGGTGCAAAACAAGAAAGGCAAGACCTCAAGAACTACCAGTGGGCAACTTACCTGCTGAGAGGCTGATGCACGGAAACCCTCCATTTACGTGCACGGGAATAGATTACTTCGGCCCTATGACGATTACCGTAGCAAGACGCCATGAGAAGAGATGGGGTGCTCTATTCACATGCTTAACAACACGAGCTGTACACATTGAGCTCACTCCTTCACTCTCCACTGACAGCATGATCATGGCACTACGACGATTCGCCGCGAGAAGGGGAATGCCAAAGATAATCTACACCGACAATGGCACTAACTTCGTTGGCGCCAACAAAGAACTCAAAGAAGCACTAGACACCATGAAGCAAGAAGACCTTATCTCGGAAGCAGAGAAGATCGGCGTGCAGTGGAAGTTCATACCTCCTGGTGCACCAAACATGGGAGGTGCATGGGAGCGTCTGGTGCGATCCATTAAAACCGCACTGGACGCCACGCTCAACGAAAGGCAACCACGAGAGGAGGTACTTCATACCCTCCTGTTAGAGGCCGAGCACATAGTCAACTCTCGGCCCCTCACCCACCTCTCCGAGAACCCTGAAGAAGAAGCACTTACACCGAACCACTTTCTCATCGGGCGATCATGTGGCGCAGCAAGAATCGGCAGCTTCGAGGACAACGAGCTTGTGGGCAGACACACCTGGAAGGCTACGCAGCGACTTGCCGATCACTTCTGGCAACGTTGGCTGAGAGAGTATTTGCCCACTCTACTACCAAGGAAGACCAAAGGAAGAGTCAGCGCCACAGATTTGCAAGTCGGAGACATCGTACTGATCGTCGATCACAGCCTACCAAGATGCATCTGGCCACGCGGAAGAATCCTGCATGTGTATCCTGGACCAGACGGGCGGACCAGAGTCGTCGACGTCGAGACCAGAGGAGGTGTTCTACGGAGGCCCAGTTCGAGAGTGGTGCTGTTGGTGCCGGGAGCGTCGCCGAGTCCAGGAGTTGGTGCAAAGCACGAGGGGGAGAATGTCGGCGACGGAAAACTTATCTTCGAGTAACGTGTGTATTAATATAGGGACAATGTCATTTTAGCGTATTATGAATAATTGTTGTAAATATGAAATCTCATTCTTATTAGATTTATTATGTTAAAATAAGTTCTAATTAGTGTAATAAGGTTAGTTTAGAGTATTTTTTGCTTATTTGAATCATATAAGACTATTTAACATTAATTTGAAAGGAATAGGTACGTAAGTAAAATGTTAGCATATAATTACGTAACTTGAAAATGAGATTTTTTGTTTCTTGCAATAGCATAATAGTTTATGTTTTAAATAATAGATTTTATTATAAAACTTATAATAAAACAAGAATTAGGTCGATAGGACTATCCGTTCAAAAGTTATAAGGGAAAATGTATAGTAAAAATGTAGCAACCTAGAAATTTAGATATTTTTGTTTTAAGACTTTTTTAATTAATTATTATATATTGAATATTATGTTTTAATATTGTATAATAGTATGTAAGGCATGTAAATAAATAAATATGTGTAAGGTGTTTTACTGAAAACATAAAATAAAAGGACTCTCAAGGTTTCGGTTTAGGGAAATTTTACTCGAAAAATGAGCTCAAAGTACGCGGCCCTCTGTAAGGTATTAACGGGCCAAATAAAAGGCGAGCCATTTCTCGATTCGAGTCAGTCGCAAGACAGCCACCGAAGAGGCAACAACTAAAAGGAAAAGGAAGAACCGAAACCAAGAGAGAAAAAAGGAAAAATTGTGTTTTATTTCATCGCCTCTAAGTATAGTCTCCTGTCAACGAAGAAACCCTAGTGGATCGGGACCCAAGCTACGCATTCAGGGGTGCGTGGTGGCGTACATTACCAGCGAACGGACATACTGCCGTGTACGCCAAGAACGTCTGGGAGATTGTCCCAGGTCGACCTCCGGGTACTAGACATACCCTGGTTCTGGTCGTCCGAAACACATACATAGCTAAGAACCACTGCAAGGAAACTGGCTTTCAAACGAAAAATACCGCATAAAATCGGCCCATCCGTTTGAGAGCTACGATGCCACAGACAGACACACACACAGACAGACATCGACGTCAAGCTTTTAAAACCCCTTTTTTTGCGTCGGGGGTTAAAAAACGTGGTGGAGGTTGCTAATGTTAGCTTCCATGAACAAATCGACATTACCGCTAGTAGCATATTAAAACTGATCTAAGATTTGATTAAAAGTAGTTAAAAATTAAACTAAAAAAATATATGTATGTATGTATTGTATTCAGCCCTTTTTAAGGTCCCACTGCTGGGCGTGGGCCTCACTTCAGTACGAGGGGGATCAGGCCATAGTCCACAACGCTGGCCAAGTGCGGGCGGACTGAGCATGTCTATCGAAAACTTGCTAGCTTCTCTCAGACATACAGGTTTCCTCACGATGTTTTCCTTCACCGTAAGACAAGTGGTAATCATGTTGGAAATGATTCGCACATGAAAATATCAAAGTTACGAGACCCGGGATTTGAACCCGCTTCACTCGATTTCCAGAGCGCGTTACCACTGGGCTCCTACTGCCGAAAAAAATATAGCCCTGCCTTATTTTACTATAAGAAAATTAAAAAAAACTCAACAACAACTTGTGAGCAAATAATATTGTGTAATATTAATAATGATGGGTATTCCTTATCTATTTAACTTAATATACATATTACGTAGTCATTTAACAAAAAGTTAGTTTTATTAGTATACACTGTAACAAAATTTGTAATAAATCTAGCTAATGTTCTCCCAGTACAGTACACTAATCACTTTTTAGGGTTTCGTACCTGAAGGGTGCCAACGGAACCCTATTACTAAGCCTCCGCCGTCCGTTCGTCCGTCTGTCAGAGGATTGTATCTCATGAACTGTAATAGGTAGAGTTGAATTTTTCAGAAAGTGTATTTCTATTGCCGCTATAAAAGAATCTGGTCGTGTCGAGCAGTCGTCCCACCGGAGTATGAGAGTGACAAGAATAGAGAGTGCACGTTGTGTCTGCGCTCTCTCTCACGCGCTGCACTATAATATCTCCTGCGCAGTTGGCTAGTCTTAATGAGATTGGCCGCCGTGGCCGGAATCGGCTAGGAGAACATCATAATAAGAAATAATAAAAAAACCAAGATGGCGAGTTTCAAAAAGACATATGCAAATAAAAAAAAAGTATCGATTATGGTACGGAACCTTTCGTGTACATGTCCGACTCGCACTTGACCGATTTTTTTTATTAACACTAAAACCGGTTAATAGCTATTAAATAAAAAAAAGTAAATCCATTGACAAACAGAAAAGAAGAAAGTACAACACTGATACATACTCGTATATCAATAAAAAAATTGGAAACCGATTTTTTTACATAGATAAGTTAATTTTTATGATATTTGATTTTTTGGATTTCTCTTAGTCCGGAAAAGGATAATAAGTACTAAAACTTCAGAAAAATTAACGAAAAAAAAATATATATTATATGGTTAACGCTGGCTAATGACTATTTATATCTATTAAAAACGTACCTAGCGATGAACCCGAGCGAAGCGAGGGTGAACCGCTAGTAATAAATAAATATGTTGGCACATTAACACACAGCACCATCTAGTTCCATTGTAAGCTACGAGGCTTGTGTAATGGATACCCGATAGTTGATACACTACACATATATAACTTTAAATACATACATATTGACTGGATACCCATGACTGGAGTACAAATATTCGTACTCATCACACAAATGAATGCCCCAAGCGGGACTTGACCACTTAACCGCTGACACAGCAAGTTTTAATCCATATTATATATTTTACGGGGTTTTTTTTAATTTAACTACGTAAAAGTTAGCTTAAACATATCCAATGTTGTAGAGTTTCTTTTGGTCATAAACTGACTGTATATATTAACTATATATAATATATTTAAATAACTGAAATGAGACAAAAAAGAGCAAGGGAGATAGAAAATAAAAACAAATATGTTATTATAAAATATAAGTGTATTAAATAAAAGCTTAGAAATGGCTAATTGCTAAAAAATAAACACTCTTTATTTTACAACAATTTTAACAGACTATAAAAAGAAAGGAATACGCCAATAGATCACGCTAGATGGCGCTAATTAAGCATCTACGTAAGCAAAATGGCGTCTAAACATTTGCTTTATATACCAATATCTATTGTGATCTCATCCTGTCTTAAATAATTTGTTACATAATTGAAATATTACCTATAAACAAAATCAATAGACGTATTTATATATTATTTTTTATTATTACTTAAATAAACAATTTTACATAATATAAATTGTTCATTTTTCATCCTAGCAACATTTACTTGGTTGTTTCATTATCGCCTATAGATCACGGTAGATGGCGTTAGTTGGGACAAAATTTTAGTAGTCATTAGTGTTATTATTTTAGGTTATGCTTACTAGAGATTGTTTTAAACAATTTTAGAGGAAATACGTATAAATATGTTTTGAATTTGTTAAGTAAGTAAAGTTTACGTTAATATTTTTATAATAAAATATGGTTTAAGCTTCTAAAATATTTATATTATTAAATTTGTTCTATATTTTTATACATTTTGGAGTAAAATCCCTATAATTTTTGAAGAAAACATTGATTCTAATCACAAAAATATATAATATTTTATTAATAGATATTTCACAATCAGACAAAAAATAACTTTGACAATTAAAAGCGCCCTCTTGATTGCTTTTGTATAAGAAATTTTTATAATTTCTTTGGTATGCTTAAAAGTTTTTATACAAAACATTTAATAGTTAGCAATTTTTGATATTATAATATAGAATATTACACAAAAATCACTTAAAGGGATAAAATTTAATCCCTTCAAGTCACTTACCAAGTAAACACATTAAAACTCTCATTTTGGTGAACGTCATTTTCTCACTATTCCACTTACAATTAATAATAATTTATATTAAATATTTCATTGATAAATAATTTTTATAACCGCTCCTTTCACTTTTTTGAACGACTTGCTCGTATCGCGGCGCACGCGCAACTACGTAAACCCTTTCGGTTTTAGTATACGCGTGTATGAAGAGTATGGGATGAATCACCAAGGTATAGAATGCAATGGTTGTTTCAAACTAGCATAATTTGTGTCTGGATTTTTCATACAATAGGTTTTACGTATATCAAAATTATTACCTTATATGGTACGATCCAGTTATACTATGATAGATACTTTTTAACCGACTTTCAAGGGAGAGGTTCTATGTTCATGTTCTAGGAGATGACTTCACAAATTTTGTTAATTTAATTGTATTTATATAACATAACAAACAAATATATCTCACGGAAACCGAGCACTATTCCGAGATAAAAAGTCTATATGTTAATCTGATATATGAGCTATATTATTTAAAAGTTTCATTAAAATCCATTCAGTAGTTTTTGCGTGAAAGAGAAACATACATTCATACTATACATCCAGATATCCATACATCTTCACAAACTTTCGCATTTATAATATTACTAGCGACTCATCCTCGCTTTACTCGGGTTCGTCCCTAGGTACGTTTTATTCTTTTAAGCGGAACCCTAATTCTTTTTTTAAAATAAAATTAACCTATATTACTCCCTATATCATCAGCTACATTCCAGTGAAAGTCTCGTCAAAATCAGTCCAGCCGTTTCAGAGACTATCCGGATCAAACAGCAGACAAAAATTAAAAAAATATATGTTTTTCTTATAAGTACCGTATACCTATATTTCATATGCCTTTCAATTTAGTAAAACGCTGTTATTTTGACATTACAAACAGACGCTTCAATTTTATTTATCTGTATAGATTAGATTAAACACACTATTATGGATGTAAAAGTTCGTAGGTCTATTTTTGTAGCTTACTTCTTCTTAACTTTTGACCTTGGCATTTGTTTTTAAAACTGAGGCACAGTTGACTGTTTGTATCGCGCGATATTATCGTCAAAGATGAACGATTTCATATATTTTTTTAAAGAAATTTTTACAGTACAAAGACTCCTCTGTTCGTCTAACAATTTTTTTTTTGTAAAATACCAATTTAAGAGCTTTATCAATCTGATAACGACTCACCGTCGCTTCGCTCGGGTTCGTCCTTAGGAACGTTTTAAATTAAAATGGATATAGTATGTTATCCTTAAGAGATAGACATATGCCATCGCATACTTTTCTGTAGACCTATATAAGATACACAATTCCACCAAACATTATTTTGTTATATCTCAAAGGGTTTAGGCAGCGTTTTCGTTGAAAGCTCCCAGACGTCTTATTTTTTCCGATACCTCCAACAAATCTCGTTATGTTTTAGCCAATGTATACAAAAACTTAACAAATTATATACTAAAACCTTCCTCTTGAATCACTCTATCTATTGAAAAAATCGCATCAAAATCCGTTGCGTAGTTGTAAAGATCTACGCATACATAGGAATAGATAGACAGCGGGAAGCGACTTTGTTTTATACTATGTAGTGATACTAATATTATAAGGAGGATTTTTTGTTTGTTTGTACCAAATAAGCTCCGAAGCTACTGAACCGATTTAGATGAAATTTGGTAAGAAGATATATAGGTAATGAAAATGGGTATGAAAGTTTGTATGTCGAAGCAACCTAGGGATGAACCTGAGTGAAGCGAGGGTGAGTCTCTAGTAAAAAATATTGGAAACAGTTTATATATATATATATATATATATATATATATATATATATATATATCATTATTGATTATGTTCGAATTTCGATCACTCGACAAACATTAGCCCTTATAAAAATTAATTATTTCGTCTTCACAAATACTTAATAGAGTTCAAATCTACGCTTTACAATATAACATTTTTTAAGATATGACGACACGTTTGGTGTAATGCTCAGTATGTAATGACCCTACTCGCTGTGCCAAAGATCGCGGGTTCGAGTCCCGCTGGGAGCATCCATTTGTGTGATTAGCACTAATGTCTGTACTCCAGTCATGGATGTTCAAACTGGCGACTCGCTCCGCTCGGGTTCGTCCGTTTACGTTTTAACGTTTAGTATTGATTTCTCAGAGATGAGAGATTTTCTCGTTGTAAAAAGTATCCTATATGTTGACCCGGATAACCAGCTATCATCATACCAAATTTCATCAAAATCTATCCAGTGGTTTTCTCGTGATGCATTCCCAGACAGACAGACAAAAATTCTAAACACTATAGTTTCGGCCTCTGTATCGATAATAATGACATGACTATTTCAATAAGATTTTCCGAAAAATATTTAATGTACAGATTCGGTTTAGTTACAATTTTAATATATGTATAGATCATATCCATACTTAATATTATAAATTTGAAAAATGTTTGTTTGTTTGTCCTTTCACGTTGACACGGAGAGACGGATTGTATCTATATCGAATCTTTTTTTGCGTGAAGACAGTTGAAAGTCGCCCTACTTATCGACCCGGGAGATATATCATTCCAAATTGAAATTCAAAATATTTTATTCAGCATTAAATTATTACAATTTTTTACTGAACATCATGAGTCTACTACCAGTTCGGAAACAAGAAGCCTCAGACCTGAGAAGAACTGGCGAAAGAAACTCAGCGGGACCAATATCTTTACTTAAAGTATAATCTTTATTTAAAGTAATATTATAATTTACAATATTTCTATAAAAAAATAGGGGATAAAAGTTTATATGAAACCTAACCTTTTAGAGTTTCTTTTTGTAGTTTAGTTCTGTTAATATATACATAAATGTTCTTATAAATAAAGCTTTATTTTAAAATAGGACAAATATCAACACTCACTGGAGTAAAGTACAATAAGTATTGGCAGTTTGAACAGATTAGCACTAAGATGTCAATAAGCGCCTCGCTCGTGTTGATTTCCCATATAAATTGTCATCCCCTTTTGCACCCCTTTAAGGGATTATTTCCGGAATAAAAAATATCCCATGTCCTTTCAATTATCCCAATCTATCTTCTTACCAAATTTCATCTAAATCGGTTCAGTAGTTTTTGAGTTTATTTGTTACAAACATACATCTTTCCTCTTTATAATAGTAGTGTAGATTTTTTAAATCAGTGTAAAGAAAGTGACATATACAAGTTAAAATGCGAATATCAAGGTAATTAGAATGTTTTATTCTGATCGGAAGTTCGATTTTTACGGCCATAAATTTCCATATTATCTGACAAAATTGCGATGACATCATAATATTTCATATATGTGTGAGTGTCACCTACGGGGATTTTTATAGCTATAATATATTCTCTTGTACGAGAATCTTAATTTTTTTTTAATCTATACATTTAATACAATTCTAAGTCGAATCTGTATATTAAATACTACGTTTTACTGCGGATTCGCCCACATGTATCATATACTAAAACCTTCTCCGAAACACGCCCTATCTTATGGTATGAGTATTATTCCGATCGGTTCAGTAGTTATCGCAGTATAACCGAACAAAAAAATCGGCTATTAGTATAGATTTTATTTAAAAAAATATTTTACACCTCATTTATATATGGAGTGACATCCCTATTTCTTATTTTTTGCATATTTGGATACAGGATTGCACAACTATTTATACGCGTCACCTACCTATTAAACTTCTGCAAAGTTTTTGAGTAAAGTGACTGTTACATACAGACGTACGAATGGACGTAGCGAAATTATTATTCCAAAACCAAACATATCTATCCCTCGGGAACGGTATATTTTTCCGGGATAAAAAGCCTATGTGTTATTCCAGACTATAATCTATCTCTGTGCCAAATTTCATCCAGATCTGTTCAGCTATTCTGGCGTGATTGAGTAACAAACATCCATACTCACAAACTTTCACATTTATAATATTTGTACAGATTTTAGCCTTTTGGCTATATAGTACCATCTAGGACCGGCGACAGACTGCCAATGTACAAATAAGGTCGCTAAATTAAGTGATTCCATGAAATTGATAACGGTTAAATAATAATAATTAAATAAGCTGATATCATTTGAATTGCTTTGTAAAGGAAAAACAATGTTATGAATTCGAATTAAGTTGAAATTAATATCAATAATGGCAGTGGTAGCCCAGTGGTAACGCGCTCGCTTGGGAAACCGAGTGAAGCGGGTTCAAATCCCGGGTCTCGCACTTCTGATATTTTCATGTGCGAATCATTTCCAACATGATTACCACTTGCCTTACGGTGAAAGAAAACATCTTGCGGAAACCTGCATGTTTGAGAGAACTTAGCAAGTTTTCACAAGACATGCTCAGTCCGCCCGCACTTGGCCAGCGTGGTGGACTATGGCCTGCTCCCCCTCGTACTGAAGGGAGGCCCACGCCCAGCAGTGGGACGTTAAAAAGGGCTGAATACAATACAATATTAAATACTCGGGTCTACAAATTACAATCTAAGCTTCTAAGTCAACGCAATCAAAAGAAACGGCCCTTCATGTCGCATATTTTGACACTCACAATGAATCACAACCTATATCGTAGTTCCCGTAGACCTAGAATCATGAAATTAGGCAATGTCTTATAGCATACTAGCATTGCCCGCGGCTCCGCCCGCGTTCAGGTGACCATAAATAAAATTCTTAGGTTTTACATATTAGTATACTCTTACATTGCAGTTTTATATTTTTTCTCAGAAATAAGACATATTCCCGCGGTAAAATTATCCTATATGTTGACCCGGATAACCAGCTATCATCATACCAAATTTCATCAAAATCCCTCGAATGGTTTTTCTGTGATGCAGTAACAGACAGACAGACCGACAGATAGACAAAAATTCTAAAAACAATAGATTCGGACTCTGTATCGATAATAATGTCTATTTCAATAAGATTTTCCGAAAAATATTTAATGTACAGATTCGGCTTAGTTACAATTTTATTATATGTATAGATGCA